TGCTGAACCTCAACTCCATCTGCCACTGGTGGCAACAGGATCAGCACTTACCCTCCTTGAGGTATGCCCCAGCGTTCACCTTCCCCTGCCACAATCTGCATCCGCTAAGCCAGCAGGGATGAAGAAAGATCACTGCATGCAGCTGCACCTCTACAAAAAAAAAGAGCGACCCGAGGACTCGAAGAGGAAGCTCTGATCATACTGACACCACAGCAACCTCCACGTGCTGGTCAGGAGAGAACATCTTTGGATAAATGGGGGCGCCCCCCCCCCCCCCAGATCGTCAATGGATGTGCTGCACTCACTGGGAGCGCAGATGGGATTATTTCAGAGAGGGCTGACATCTGCTTGTACATATTATATACATTAGCCTGCTGCACATGCTCTTGCCATTGCCTCGAGTCAGCACAGAGATCTTGTGTAGTACAGAGTTGAGCTTCCACCCTGACTTTCTCAGGCAGGAATAATGACCCCCAAAGAGAAGGGAAGTTATCTAGCGATGCTTTGATTGGAGCTCCCCACATAGTGCTCCATTTAACTTCTTCCCACAGCGCTCCATTTGTTCGCTTCCTCCCTCTTTGTTGTGTGTCCAGAAGTGTTCTGAGCACAAAAATGCTCTCTCTATATATTTATAGCAATAAGCCAGTGCCAATCAGGACTTCAAAGCTGCCCTCTCCAGGCAGTGCACTTCACAAAGACAGACCTTCCTGCCAGATAATCCCAGGTCCTTTGCATTTGATGGGTTCACCAGTGGTTGTGTGTTGAGCAGACCCAGGAGGTCCCAAGCAGCAGGTCCAATTGAACCCAGGAGACACAGCATCTGACATACACACATTCCAATGGAAATCAGTTAACATGGTCATGCTGTCTCCTAGTCCACACCCACAACTCACAGTTTTTGACAACGGTCAACAAAATTTGGCAGCCAGACAGAGTTCTTGGAGGTACAAAGTTCCTACAAGGTTTGTGAGAGTTGGTGGCCAGGTAGATGACGCCAACCCTCTCTGTTGCCCCTTGAGGCTACCAAGAGAAGGCACACACCCAACTGCTGAGTCTGACGCCGGCAGCTATCCAAACCTGCGCAGCTCTGGGCTAATCTCAGCATGTGCTATTTCTTGCCCAAACAGCAATCCAACAAACACAGGGAGGCAACACGGAAAAGAGCTGGGGAAACTACTGGGTGGCCACAGGGGCACAGAATAAAGCTGAGGTGCTGTGGGAGGCAGAGAACAAAGGGTACACGGAAAGGCTGGTGGTACCATGGCAGCAATCAGGGACACACACAGGGAGCTGGAAATGCAGCACCGGCAGTACTGGGCCATAACGGGAGCATAACAGGACACAGGTAGGAGACTGAGACTGCTGTGGCGAGAAGGTCACAAATCCCTGGAGGAAAAAAGCTTTATTGGTTGTGCAGCTTGTGAGATAACTTGTCTTCTATCAGCGCAGGACACGTACTTTATCTACGCTGCAGATGGGCACTGACAAGGACCTAAGTGTCTGTTTGCACTCTTTGGTGACAGAGCGTCCCACCCTGGCGCAGCCAAAATAGCAGAGACAAAATCTGAACGTGCGGATTAAAGCAGTTAAACCCAGTGCCCACACCCTGTCACAGAAATACAGAATACACGTGGGAAGAAGCCAGGCACCACACCTGGACTGTGGTGCTGCACTGCCCATCTGCTCTGCTCCAAATCGGATGAATCCCAAAGCACGCCGTGACGGAGTTGGGATGCCTTTGGGGGGCAGGAGGAGGCGGGGACATGTCAGCTGCTATTCCCTGGCAGCAAGCATGGCACAGGTGCAGTAAATGCCAGCAGCTGCAAGGACCTTGTGGCAGATGGAGAGGACATCCGGCACGGCACTACAGGACAGAGCTCTGCTGCTGTTTAGCATGATGGGCTTCGTGGATGGGGACTAAACAGGGTGGGGAGCACCCACAGTTCTCCCACCTCTGCAGGCAGGCTTTTACAGCCAGCCCCAGACGCACTCCATGCACTGACCCAGCCTGCCTAGCAGGTGATACCCCTGGGGCATCACCAGTTCGATCACGCTGCCGGTGCTGTGACTTTTCCATCTCTCACCCCCTGCCCTTCCAAAACAGGGGGATGCAGCCCTGCTCCCTGCCACATCGGTGCTGCTTCGTGGTCTTTTGAGTGGTGGTACTCGCTCCCATGCTAGGAAGCTGAAGGTTTGCTCAGCCATGCCGCAGTGCTGGTGCTCTACCGTGGCAGGCCGGGCTCAGCTGTACGTAGCCACCAACCGTGGGCGTCACGCAGCCACCTCACCGACCCTCGAAGGCAGCGTGCATAGACACATTACCTCACCCAGGCATCACAGACATAACCCATGTATTTTCATGTTGACTGTCGCTTTGGTAGGACATCAGATACGTCCCCAAGCGCCATCGCAGAAGCAACTTGCTCTTCAGATCACAGCCCTTTGAAAACAGGTCAGATCTTCCTGTTCTGTGCATGTGCCACTTCTCCTCTACACTTTTTTTCAGCTTTGCCTTAAGTTCCTTGATGCCACCTGCGCACTTGCTGTGTGACAAGCGCTGCACGCACCAGCAGCTCTGTGCACCAAAGCCCTCTGTGGCAGCCAAGCCAAACGCCAGCACCCCTCATTATGCTGTTTTCTGGGGCAGAGAGGGGCTACACCTTGCTCCTACAGACTCCTCATCCCAGGGCCTCGTTTCTGCTTTTTTGGGTGAACCAAACCACCACCTTCATCAGCAGACCCAGGCGCAGCAGCAGCTCTGATCTTCTGTGTTTGCATTAAGCACCCCGTTGGCAGCATCTCTCTGTGCACAGCACCAAGCATTTGGGGAGATGGGTATCAGTTCCTGCCCCAGGCACGGGTTCATCACGGCCGTGATCCTCACTACGGTTTCTCACTGTTTTGTCATTCGCAGCAGCGAAAAGAGGGGCATCAAAATTTGCCGTGCAGCGGAGTGAGGGTTATCATGCCCGTGCCCCGATCGATTCACACCAATAGAAAAGCCGACCCCAGCAGGGGAAATGAATGCATGGATAACCACCTGCTGAAAAGGGAAACGCTGAGACAACCAGGCACTATGGCAATTCGTACCCTTTCTTTGATCTCAGCTGTATCTTTGTACTGCGTACAGAAAGCAAAGAGAAGAACAACAAATCTTTCTGCTAAGCCAGTAACTCTCAAATTCATTTTCCTGCTCTGTAACGGGAACAGAGGATTGAACCCCAGCCTGCATTAAAAAAACAAACAAAAGCAGAAGTTCATTAGTGATGAAAGTTGCATTTCCAGCCAATTATTTATTTGCTTTTGCCTCTAGAGAGCCTATCTATGCATTGCATAGGAGCCTGTTGGAAGCACCTCCACTGAAAGTCTTTGGTCAATTTGTTTAAACTCTTATCCCAATAAACAGCGGGACTAAACAGCATACCATCCACTTGGCCTCATCACCATCTCCTCGCTTGTTCCCATTGATACCTGTAAATGTAAAATTTATGGCTATCATATAAATGTAAAATTTATGAGTCTTCAATTCTGGCTTTTCACAGCATCACCATGTTGAAATCTGTAAAAACTCATCACCCTCGCAGTTTGTCCCAGAGTTCAGCAGATATGGGCCCTAAAGCAAGTTTCAGAAGAAAGGGCCTGGGAGGACGACCCTCCTGCAGCCTTGCAAAAGCTATTTGAGTGAGCACAGGCAGAGCCCTTAGACTCCTAGCTGTTGGTCCTGGACTCAGAGGGGATTTCCAGGGCCTGAGGCGTTCAAGTGACTCACGCTGAACTGCTACAGCCACTCCACTCTTGCAAGTCACTTGGCCTTCGGACAAAATTACTTCAGTCCTGCGAACAGCTTGGCGTGGGTGGCGAAAGGACGACGACACCAGCCAGCCAAGGAACTGCAATTTCAGTGTCCCTCCAGCCCCTGCTACTGACTCCAGGCGCTCACCGAACAAGGAAGGTGCAAAGCAGCTCTGTGCGATTTGGTAGCCATTGACGGCATGCCCTGGGCCACTGTTTTGTCTCTCTCAACAGACAAATCCACTTTAGAAGCTCTCTAGATCTACAAGCCCCACACCTCAGCCTGTGGAAAGTACCTTTATTTTATTACCGTCACCCTGCATCCCCCTCATTATTTATGCCCGGTGTTAAGCTACGCGCTCACCGTAAGGCCTTGCACGCGTGGGAGTCCCTAGTGCACACGGTGCATCTGTCTGCATTATTTTCAACCTGGAAAGAACCGAGCGACGTGGGGCTTTTTTTGCTAGCAGAAGCTGTAGCAGCCAGAGCTGCATCAGTAGCAGAGTACTGACTAATGAGCAAGGCACTCCGAAGGCACTAGTTATGCCAAAGAAATCACAAACCTTTCGTGATTTTTCTGTCACACCGTGTACATCCTGCAAGATAGAGAGACATGCGGAGTGATACAAAGTGCAATCAGATCTGCTGTTTGCAGCATCCCGGAGAAAGGTGATGGCTAAAGGTATCAGATAGAGCTTGGGACCTACGGCTTCCTGTGCTGCTGCAGACCATCTGTGCCATTCCACCTCTGCAAGACAGAGGTCACCAGGGCTGTTAGCGTCCCCTAGGATTGACAGCATGACTGAAAAGAGAACTTGGGTTTCCACTAACTCTGTGCTTTCTCTCTCATTTCCCCTCAGGTTTCCCAAAAGCAAAACACGGCATCCAGCTAAATTTGCACCGGGTCCTTCCCCTGGTATGTCCCTGGACACTTCAGTGTCCTGTGCTACGCAGGAGGGGACGTGGCTTGTCCAGACAACCTGAGAGGCTGCAGCAGGGTTCGGCACGCTCACTGATATTGCTACGGGCAGCCTTTGTGGGGATGGAGGGTTTCACCGTGTGCAGCCACGCAGCTCCCCCACGAGCCACCCTGCCTCCAGACCAGGCGTTAGCCCGGGACTGCAGGCAGAAATGCAAGCTTTACCTTTCAAGGTAGCGACATAGGATGACTGCTTAGGGATCAACGATGTCTTCCAGCTTGGAAGCCACACTTCCTCCCCCTGCACGTTAGGGTTAGCACCACTCCTAAGTCAGTGCCTTAAAAAGTTGGGTTTCCTGTGCAAAGCAACAACAGACATTATTTTCAGTGCCTGCTGCCCCTCGGGCGCTGGCTGCAGGTGGCTGGGGCACAGCTCCACAGCAAAGCCAGCAGCACCAGGGAAAGGGTGGTACTGCTGATCCTTGTTCGATCTTAAGGATGCCAAGACAGCATGAGAATGATACTGTGTTTTCCTTTCGTGGAGCGCCAGGCCACCTAGACCATGACTCAGCTCAGGCGCTGCAGGTCTAAGGAGGGGACAAAGCGGGTCTGTTTTGTCACAGGCACCCTGCCAGGCTCACCCTACCCACGGCTGCTGCAATGCCAGGTTTCCCTCCCCCAGGGAGAAGCAACCCTGTGCCTCCTTCCCCACGCCACCGCTAGCACCTCCGATCTCTCCATGGCCCACGTGGGGCCACGCCAGCCTTGGTGGCCCACTGCCCAGCTAGGAGCTGCGGGACCTGAGCGTGTCGATAGGATTTTGTAGCGCTGCAGCAGCAACAGGGATTTGAGCGATGGGGCAAGCTACCATCTGACCGCGAGGATGAGCCTGAACCAGAGCAACGCTACCACCGCACAGAGAGAGGGATTGATTTTGAGCAGACTAAATAATTACAGAATCACAAAATGGTAGGGGTTGGAAGGGACCTCTGTCGGTCATCTAGTCCAACCCCCC